TATATTAATAATTTGTTTTAGTGCAATATAAAAGCCAATTATTTAATTTTGTAAATAATATCTTGTGTTTATATTTTATCATATTTTTCTCACGTTATAAATTTCTCCTTATACATGAAAAGCCTATAGCTGTCCTTATATTTTACAAAGGAGGTGCCTCAGATCATAATATCTGGGGTCGTTGATGTCACAAAGTTTGAAAATCCCTACACCACACTGAAACAGAAAAATAAAGACTCCAAATTAGATTTTAGGGCTCATTGCACTTTGTAACGTAATCCAACATGAGCATGACTTCATTCTTTTTCACTCTTAACATAATTACCAGAGTCCTGTAACATTATCAGCTCCGTTGAAGGCAAAGCACAAGGTGTTTATATGCACAAGATGGAAAAGCTGCTTGGGATCAAGGTAGTGCTTGCAATGGAGAGATGCTCTGGGGTCTTTCTTTCCATTTATAAAATGACCTTACCAGTTAAACCACAGTGACCTGTCAGTCACTAAGGTACAGTTTGTACCATTACTTCTCATTCACACAGAACTGATGTCCATGAAGGAGGACATGAGGAGGAGGGGAGGGGAGAGGAGAGGAGAACAAGGGCGTTTTCTCCCGTTCATTCAGAATAAAGGAGAGGAGGGAAGATATTGTGGCTAGCCGCAATTCGCTGAGACAGTCACCAGCACAACTGGATCTGTGAGAAAATAAATTAATGCTTTGAATTTGACGCTGTGAGAGACGTAGTACTGATAAAGGTAAGCGTTTTGCGTTTGGTCATATTGATGCAAGGCAGGTCAGTGGTGCAATAGCCTCTACTGGAATGCTAGCTCGATTTTAGCAAGCATCACTGATTTAAAACAAGCTCCGGAAACAGCTAGGACATAACTGAAAATAAAACACTCTTCAACTTTGCATTGCTGGTGCATGTGCACTTGCAGGCGTTTCGGCTCATTTAGCGGCATGTGAGACTGCATCCAGCCTTTGATTTTCATGCATACGGCGAGATAAGCAGAAATAGTGAGATATTAATTGAAAGTTGACCATCATGACCTGTGCCGGGTAGATAGCACGCCTCCACTTCAAAGCGGCACGTTGCATTTCGCCAGCGCCTGCAAAGAAAAACACACACGGCTACAAACAAGCTAACTGATGCTTTTTCTGCTGTTTTCATTCATTTGTTCGGTTAGCGGTTAGCTCGTTTTCTCACACCAGCAGAAGCCTGCCCATCTATCGATTATGTCATGGTTTTTCATTCTCGCTCTTGCACAATGGGCGAATATCTTATCCTTCTCTTTATCTTTACTCTATATCTTAATTTATCTTTTAGTAGATTGTTAGTGGTGTGTGGGTTTTTCATGATCATCATCATCAATAACGCAGCTCGGCCATTAGAAAGCAAACGCACAGACACACACACACACACACACCTCCATACATCTGACCTATTTCCAAAAGCACATCCATGACTTTATTGTGATGACTACGTTTTATTCTCACAAACACAGCTGTTTGGAATCGTTTTCCTTATTCATTAGTGTTATTAATGGTGGTAGCTGTTATTTATGAAGACACCGCCATCAATCAGGGCCCTAACAGTTCAAATCAACCAATGCTTCGGATAATGCACATAATATAAAGGCGACTCAAATATAACCAGTGATTATTAATGTATAATTATGAACATCAATTTGTTTTTCAGTGTATTATACCCTTTATAGCACTGGTTAGGAATAAGCACTCTGGCTGTGTCTCAAAATCTGCCCAACTAGCATTTTTTTGGCATCACACTGTTGATGTTTGCATCATTTTGTGGCATCTTTGGCGTTTGTTGTTTATTAAGAAATGCTGTCTTTTTGGCAGCTCATTACGTTTTGATCTTTTAGGAATTTACTATGTGAATTCTATCTTTCTTTTATCCTGGTTAATAAATAAACAATACAAATGTATATCTGTTCAAGAAAGAGAATGTTTACTTTTATAGGCTACATATATGATGCATGAAATTTGTGCTAAAATATGTGACCCTGGACCACAAAACCAGTCAAAAGCGGCACGGGTATATTAGCCAACATTACATTGTATGGGTCAAAATGATCAATTTTTCTTTTATGCCAAAAATCATTAGGATATTAAGTAAGACCATGTTCCATGAAGATATTTTGTAAACTTCCTACCGTAAATATATCAAAACTTAATTTTTGATTAGTAATATGCATTGCTAAGAACTTCATTTGGACAACTTTAAAGGCGATTTTCTCAATATTTTGATTTTTTTGCACCCTCAGATCCCCGATTTTCAAATAGTTGTATCTCAGTCAAATATTGTCATATCCTAACAAACCATACATCAATGGAAAGCTTATTTATTCAGCTTTGATGTATTAATCAATTTACAACAATTTAAAAAAATGTACCCTTATGACTGGTTTTGTGGTCCAGGGTCACATATGTGCTTCAACAAAAGTACTTTTTACGGTATGAACTAATAAAAAGAAATAGTTTTTTAATCAAATAAAGGGTATCAAATATAGGTCACTTTAATTACTTATTACAGTAATTAATTACTTATTACTTATTTAGTAATTTAAATATTCAGTCATTAGAGCATGGTTTTCTCATATGAAGATGAATGTTTCTAAACAGTGGCTCAATGAAATTCACACACAAACTGCATTTGACTTCTCCCCTTGTCTTTTATGGAGAAATGCATATACAGGGTGAAATGGAAAACCGATTCCCAGTGCTCTCTAGCTGACCGCTCATCTTACCCTAATATGATACACTGTCAATATTAAGTCTGAAAGCAAAAGAAAAACATTGAACATCTGCCATTAAGAATGTGTTATACTGCAAAATATAACTGTTGGGTATTTAAATATGAACTAAATAAAACAAAAAAATCATTACAACAAGCAAGACCACAACATTTCTCTTCTCTTGTGTTTTCAGAAATGATCAGACGAGTGGTACGACAGAGTAAATTCCGTCATGTGTTTGGTCAGGCGGTGAAGAATGACCAGTGCTATGATGATATTAGGGTTTCGCGGGTTACCTGGGACAGTGCCTTTTGTGCAGTAAATCCCAAATTTGTTGCTATTATTGTGGAGGCTAGTGGGGGTGGAGCTTTCCTCGTTCTGCCTCTGCTAAAGGTAAGGGATAACTGCATATATGCTCACTCAGCATTTATGCAGTTAGTAATTTTAATAAGCGTAGCTGGTCAGAATTATGCAAGATGAGACATAAATCTATGCTATCTGTTTCCTGTTTGCAGACGGGTCGTATTGACAAGGCCTACCCCACTGTTTGTGGTCACACGGGCCCTGTGCTGGACATCGACTGGTGCCCACACAATGATCACGTCATTGCTAGCGGCTCTGAAGATTGTACAGTAATGGTGCATTCAGCTCCTTCACTACATCCTCTAATAAAGATCCTGCTTGTGATTATTATAAAAATATTTGCATTTTTGTCACGCAGGTGTGGCAGATCCCTGAGAACGGCCTCACCGAACCTCTTTCTGAGCCAGTCGTGGTGTTAGAGGGTCACTCCAAGAGGGTGGGCATCGTGACGTGGCATCCAACAGCCCGCAATGTTCTGCTAAGTGCAGGTAAGAGATTTTAAAAGCGAGTGCACTACATAAAAACCCTAACTTTTATCATCTTAAAGTGGTCATAGGATGCTACATGCACTTTTACAAGTTGTTTGAACTGAAATGTGTGTTGGTAGTGTGTGTACACAACCACCCTATAATGATAATCAACTTGTGGAAAATGGGCATCCTATGACCCCTTTAAACATCAAAAACATGTTATGTTGCGTGACTGAATGATCAAAAACCAATTTTGTCTTTCCTCCTCTGTCAGGATGCGATAATCTCATCATCATTTGGAACGTGGGCACAGGAGAAGCTCTGATCAACCTGGAGGACATGCATCCTGACGTGATCTTCAGCGTCTGCTGGAGTCGCAACGGCAGCCTCATTTGCACCGCATGCAAGGATAAGAAAGTGCGCGTTGTCGATCCACGCAAGGGAAAGATCATTGCGGTAAGCGAAAACATCTCGGAATTACATTGAAGACTCTTTATTTCCACAGTTCTTTGTGTCTCACTGGCATTGATGATCACAGGAGAAGGATAAGGCCCACGAGGGGGCACGGCCCATGAGAGCCATCTTTCTGGCTGATGGAAACATCTTCACCACCGGTTTCAGTCGTATGAGTGAGCGGCAGCTAGCCTTATGGAATCCAGTAAGGCAAAATAAATACATTTCCATGTTTTTGAAAAATTTAATTTTTTTACGCACTTTCATTAAATATTATGATGTTCCTCTCTTTAAGAAAAACATGGAGGATCCGATATCAGTGCATGAAATGGACACCAGCAATGGAGTGTTGCTTCCATTCTATGACCCTGACACTAATGTGGTCTACCTGTGTGGAAAGGTGAGCAAGTTTTTATGTGACCCAGAAAGCATGAGTTCAGCAATATTATATTAATAATTAATGCTGTGCATCTTCATTTTTGTGTTTTTAGCATTTTAATGAAGGTTATGTTTATGTAAAGAAATTTGAATAATTTGGGGCCCCCCTAGAACTTGAGAACCACTGGCTTTGCCTCAATAGTGTGATGTCATACTATATATATTGTGTATATATAGTATGTATATTTTAATACAACTGTAATCTTGTTTTCTGTTTAAGGGTGACAGCAGTATCCGTTACTTCGAGATCACAGACGAGGCACCGTATGTGCACTACCTCAACACGTTTTCCAGCAAGGAGCCCCAAAGAGGCATGGGCTACATGCCTAAAAGAGGCCTAGATGTCAACAAGTGTGAGATAGCCAGGTATGCACGATTTGCACAGGTATTTATTTTTTAAGTGTTATTTTTGAAATGAGAAAACAGACACAAGGTTTTCAGCAAGTGTTTGTGGCCTTAGATTCATTCAGATTATCTGAAGTGTTTGAGGGGCTTATGGCCATGTCAGAATCTAGATTTTATTCTAGAATCTATTTTCGAGAAACTAAACTCTTCAGGCTAGCATTGTTGTGATTATGGCTCTCAGTTAGGTCGATTTTATTTCTCCAGTAGGGGGAGTCATTAGTCTGTCATTGACTATAAAATCTAACGTGATGGCAATGTAGCTTTGGTTTCATGCTGTGGCTCCTAAAGGTCAATGAAATGTTATTTGACTAGTAATGATCACTGTAAGGATCATTCATTTAATGATTCATTTTGTCATAAGGGTGTACGTTCTGTGTTTAATCTTTGTCGGAAATTGATATATCTATAATATTTGTATTATATATATATATATTTAAATAATTGTTTTCCATTTTTATTTATATTAAAATGTAATCTATTCCTGTGATGGCAAAGCTGAATTTTCAGCATCATTATTCCAGTCACATGACTTATCATTATTCCTTCAGAAATCATTCTAATATGCTGATTTTGTGCATACATTTACATATAAATGTATTTAAAACAGTTGTTCTGCTTATTATTATTTTTATCATCAATTTTTTTAGGATCCTTTGATGACTATAAAGTTCAAAAGAACAGCATTTATTTGAAAAATATATTTTTTTACTTTTTTATTTTGTAAATGGAAAAAGTCAAAACATTGAATGTGCTTTTTAGATTATGATTGTGCTTATTACCATAACACCAATAACATGTCTGTTGTTTCTCACAGGTTTTATAAACTTCATGAGAGAAAGTGTGAGCCAATCATCATGACCGTTCCTAGAAAGGTACTTTTCACTGTATATTAAAACAATGATTGTTAATAGTAATGTTCAGTTGATAAGTTTGTATTTGTTTTGTGTTTAGCTTTACAAGCAAAGCTCAATCAAAGTGCGATTTAATTGTCATTAACTGATGAAGAAAAGGGAAGGCACTTGGTTTCAATTAACATTAAAGCAGCAGATGTTTTCAGAGAAAACAAACAGCATGAATCCAAAATACTCATTACGGTATTTCCTGTCTATTGGGTTTTTGGCAGTCAGACCTCTTTCAGGACGACCTCTATCTGGACACAGCAGGTCCAGACCCGGCGCTAGAGGCTGAGGAGTGGTTTGAAGGCAAGAATGGCGAACCGATCCTGATCTCGCTCAAACACGGTTATGTTCCGGGCAAGAACCGCGACCTCAAAGTAGTCAAGAAAAATGTGCTGGATAACAAGGCACCCAAGAAGGTGGAGAAGCCAGCAACTCCCCAGAAACCTGCCTCTCCTCAGCTAACCAAAGTAAGGATGATGCTTCATTGACTCTTTCTTATTTTTCCCACTAATAATTGGCCCTAAAACACATTTTCGTATTTCTTTATTCTGCTTTGCAGAAGAACGAAGTGAAGTTAGAGGAGCTGCTGCGAGAAGTCAAGTCCCTTAGAGATCTGGTCACGCTGCAGGACAGGAGAATCGCCAAACTTGAAGATCAAGTGGCTAAAGTGGCAATCTAAGACACTGGTGGTGGTCTGAGCCATAGCTTCAGTATGGAGAAAGAGAGATTCAGTTGGGCAGGGGGGGCAGTCACTGTCAAAATTTCTCAATTTGACTCGATCATTCCGCTTGGTGTTTCTCACAAGGACAACTTCAAGCAACATTCCAAGATGGACTTTTACTTTTTGTCAAGTCTCCCCCAAGCATCCGCATAGCAGAAGCAAAGTTGTGGCAATGAGTGGTCACTGGTTTTAACTGATGTTTTACATTTTGTTAAAAATTTTCTTACTTCTTTTGTTATTATAACATTGTTTCCATGAGTATTCTGATATTAACCGGTATGTTACAGAGTGTCATTGTATATACACATTAGTATTTCTCTTTTCATTTTTTGATGTGCTGCCAAATTTGAGGTGAGTCAGTCACCTCTCCTTTTATTTCTACTTTTCTCTGTTTTTCCCAGTTGTAGATAGTGGCTTATTGAAAAACAAGACATGCTGTTCAAAGTGGGACATCAGCAGAAAAGGCGGAACTGTGTGGATATGATTGTAAAGGCAACTAATAATAGATGATAAGGATATGATTTAGTGAAATGTTCATAACCATTAAAATTCAACATTTAGGATTCACCAGGATTTAATTGGGAATTCAGTCCAAATTAAGTCCCTTGTGATGATCATGATCACTGGAGTATTAATTCATTTCCTCCATTGGCTGCTTTGAGATCATCATCATTGATTATAAAGCATCCAACAACAGGGTTTTTCAAAAAATATAAGTCAGTTACAGTATATCCAAAAGCAATAACTTCATGTTGCAGAATGAATGTGAACGTAAACCTAAACCTGTTAGACTTTGGCAAGTATCGTTGATGCATTCCTCATGCATATTCTTCATAAATCAAAAACTTGCCGCTGTAACTTGATAGTAATTATGAAATTACTGTTGCACCTCAGGAAATCAATCACTCTGAAGTCAGAAACATTGGATGCTCAACACTTGCCAGTTGCATGAGGTTTTTCCCACAGAAATAGTACCTTATTTTGATTAGGAAATGGCTATTTTGTTTATTTATTTTTTTTGCTGTCATTATCCATGTTCTCCAGTTTGCCCCCACTTTCGAATTGTTCTCACGTTACAGAATATTGGGCTGACACATGCTCGATAAGTGAACTTGGCTTTAAGAGGCAGTGGCTACCTGCGAGCTCTTCTGATGTACATATACTGTAAATGTATTGGTGCCTCTATGTGTGTTTCTGGTTTTAGAAAGACCTCCTCAGTTGACCACTGCTGGAGGACAACATCCATGAAAATGAGCACTTATCTATGTCCTAAACAGTCTTGTGCATGCATTCCAAACTTCACCTAAAATAAAAAAGGTTGGCTCTACAATAAATCTTTTCATTCATAATTCTTCATGAAGTCTGCTGTCAGTTTCTTGTTTGTTGGACGGTTTACAATGAGGTCATGAAACTGAACAACCAAAATGTGGTCATGTTTACCAATATAAAAAGTTGTTACTATATGGCTGGCTTGAATACTTGATTATGATTAGTTAATCATGTCATTTATTGGTCAGGTATTTCCGAATATCATCCATCATCAGTCTGCTCTTTCAGGGAACTGAAATATCTTGTGACACTATTATTGATTGTAGTGAAAATGACCTCAGAGGACTTGCCGATTATTGTTGTCTTTCTTCCTGTTGCTATGCTAATAGTTTTGTACACTGACTATTTGCTATTTTAGTTTTGTATATTGTAATGACTTTAAAATAGTATACACAGGTAAAATTATTTTAAAATTCCAACTCAAATCTGTATTTTATGCCCACATTATCCCTAGTAAAGACATTTTCTCTTTATTTAGTTATTTCAGAAGCATGTAAAGACATTTATTTGCTATGTCTGTTCACAGCAAGGTTTATTATTCTGCAGTAAAGAAAGAATGACATGAAAAAAGACATAAAACAGTCTTCATTTCCAGCGATACCGTTGACTTGATTGCAAAGATACTATTTAAACTGAGCTGGATGTTGACATCACTGAATTCAATGATGAACTGTCTTTAACTGAAAAATTTGTGTTTACTATTGTCATTTTGCATTATTGACACTATTTTCCTAATTAATGCTGTTCAGTTGCTTTGACACAATCTGTATTGTTAAAAGCGCTATATAAATAAAGGTGACTTGACTTGACTTGACTTGACTTCAGCCTCAACTCTCTCAAGATTAGCTTAGGTGATCAGAAAGCAGATTTTTTAACAATCTTGTATGTCTTGACAAGTCATTAAAAGTCCAAGATACCTCAAAGGACTGGCATGTTGAAAACTAATTCTGAGGAGCCTATAGGAAAGGCTATACATTCCTACAGACAAGCCTCAAAATTGTCCTCTAAATATTGTTTTTTTCATTTTGAGACGGTACCTTTTAGTCTCACATTTTCAGCTCATTATGTTGCTATACTGTGGGTTTGAGACTTGCCACAGCAGCCCTATATATCTCAGGTCTCAACACCCTGTCCATTGTTCCAGCAGTGGCTCACAGCACGCGTGCCCTCTCCCCCGTGGACCATGTGAGCACAGGAAACATAAAGCTCTCCCTCCGGGACCTGATAGCTTCTGTTTGAAGGCCAAAAACAAATCCAAAGTATTTTACAAGGGACCATCAATGTCTGTGGTTAGTTTTAAAGGCACTTTTGTTTTTAGTTTGAAGAAATGGATGAAAATGAGAATCTAGAGCTTGGAACAAACTGTGCTACATCTGGTGGCTTGAAGTTCTCCAGTGCACAGGCAGGGGGGGGAAAACTCGGCTCTCCCCCAAACAGCCTTAATGAGAACAGTGTGTCTGGAAATGGCCCAGTCTGTCTTTCTGGGAGGAGGAGGAGGAGGAGAAGGAGGAGGAGGGGAGAACAGGAGTTTCTTCCCCCCTCACCAATCCAACTGTTCTTCATCGCGCAGTCTGTAACAACAGACATCCAGCTTGAGAGGAGGAAACAGCAGACACTTTCTCCTCCATGTTAGGTCCTCTTCAGTCAGCATGTTTTAAAGCGTCAGCACTTAAGTAAGTAAAGAACTCTTTCGTTTCAACAATACTTTTGTCTGTTTTCTATTTTAGTAATATCGTTCCTGTCCATGTAATGAGAGACAGATGACTTACCTTACAGGAATGCACAGCTTTAAAAGCTTCATGTCCAGATGTGGCTACCTAAGTTTAAAACTGTTCTCTAACAGTTCAAAAGATTCAACAAAAATAGTTCTAGAATGGACTCTCACAGTTGATTTTGGCCAGATGACCCTTCATTTAAAAAAAAAAAAAAAAAAAAAGCAATAGAGAATTACATAAAAGCAAGTTCATGTGCTAAGGACAGAACTTTCTGATGTTTGGAAATTCTTTGAAGCCAGCATAAAAACACTGAGAGACTAATATTAATGCTGCATGTGTGCATGTATGTATGTGTGTGTGTTTGAGAGTGAGGCGCCACATGAGCTTGCTTGATACTATTTCCATTGTGCTCCAAATGCCCAGTGATGATTATGGTTGTCAGCTTGAGCACAGATGGCGCAGAGTGGAGAGACCCCAGATGAAATCTCTTTGCTTAAAGAAACAAACCATCATAATTTATGTTGGTTCACCAGATGTCTTTTGTAAAACTATACTATATTTATCTGAACTTTTTTTTTTGTTACACTTTACAGTAATATTCAGTTTGCTTGTTTATATATATTTAAAGTTTTATACATTTATTAAAAAAAAAAATTACATTACTTTAAATATTTTTATATGAATTTCTACATTTACTTATACAACATTTTATGTTTTATAGCCTACATTAACATTATGATAATCAGTATACATCATGAATAAACATAAGCAATTAACTAGTACAATTACTTAGATTAATAAAAGCTGTAAAAATGGTTGTTTATTGTTAGTTCGTTATAGGTAAATTAACTAATGGTAATGAACTGAACCTTATTGTAAAGTGTTTCCATTTTTTCCTTAATAATTGTAAGAAATATCTACACAAAAACTGGAACTTGTTGAGTTGAGCATGTTTATTCAGCTTATTTTGATGCTACAGAAACTGAAACTTTAATGCTCATGAAACCTCAAAGAATGAGTGCACATGTAGGGACTGATGTTCGGCTGCAGTTGCTCAGAACATAATGCAGAACTGATTTTGGCTTAGAATCCAATGAGGTTTCCACGTGGTGCTTCGAATTTTGATTGTACCACAGGAAAGACATAAAGACAACTGCAGTGAATGAGTGTCATGAAGTAAGAACATACCAAAGTCTCAGATTTTAACTATTTATCATTGAAGTTTAAGTTACTGGGTCCAAGTCAATAACATTTCAGCTAATAAAAAATACATTCTAAGAACAAGTTATGAAAATGTATGTTATTTCCAAATGTTCTCTGAATGTTCAAAACCCTAATTTTTACATGTTTAAAAATATTTATTTTTATTGATTATTATTGGTTTTTGTTTACATAATATATCGAGGGGTGAGAACCAGAAGGGCATAAGTGACATTTTGGGTGAAACGGAGATACATATATATCAAATGAAATCATATGACGTTGTTAAAAAGAACATTATTTTGTGTATTTGGTGTAATGCAATGTGTCGTTAGAAGCGCCAGACTGTCCTTGCAAAGTTGGAACTACCCCACTTTATAGAAATGGCCTTTGTGCACAGACGGTGTAGGCTACTCTCACAGGATCAGGAAACAGTCCTCCATAAAATGCGGTGCACACATCTGAATATTTGGGTTGAACTGTTCTGGAACAGTGTTGTAAATACAACTTAACCACTGATTTCTAGTTGTGTCCTCTTTTGGAAGGCCAAACAAAGTAGTTTTTCTTTCACAACGAAACACAGCGTCTTCACGACATGGCGGCGGCGTCAACAATACTACAGCGAGAATCAAAGTTACGCCTTCTTTCTTTGCGTGAACATTTGGGCGGTGTTATGCAAATCTTCCCACACACTTCCCAGACATGTGGGGGCGTGTTTAAACGAGGCGTTTTAGGAGGGCGTGGACGAGTCTTAACTTTTATAAAGAATATCTCTTTAGGTTTGAGACTTTAGTCTTTGCAACTTTAGGGATCTTATCTATGCACAAACAGCTTGTAACACTCCAAAGAGACAGGAAAACTTAAAATTGCATCATATGACCCCTTTAATGAGCTCTTTCTACTACCAAAAGGACAGAAGTGAATTCTTAATAATTTTGGAGTTATTCATTAGAAATCAAAAGACTTAACTCTGAACATACTAAGCCAGTTGGTGCCAAAACTGCACTTATGTCCCTTTGGCACTTAGAAATTTACTGTGGGTAAAGCTTGTGGATAGCACTTGAGTCAAAATGGCTGACACCACATGTAAGCCAGGTAGATCAACCATGAGAAGAAAACAGTTTTTACTGCTGAAGATGTATTATTAATCTTTTTTTGTGACTTCAACACTACTTTCTTACAATTAAAGTGCATTGAGTACAAAATTAGTTGTTCCAATTTAGCAGACTTTAAGTATACCAGTTTAGTGATGTGAATATTATGTAAATGTATTTGTAGTATAGCATGAAATAAATGCATTTCAAATACATTTTTGTATATTTATTTTTCACTAGGGAAGGTATCTGTAAAGGCTTTTCAGTCGACCATTTGGCCAAATTGTTAAGTGGCTGAGATTATTATTTCAGTGAAATTAACCACATTCAATTAACTAATTTGATGTAAGGGCTTTTTATGTGTCATTTCATTTTATCACAATGGATTGTTATTTCATTAACTAATTAATGTAATGTTTTGTTCATACTGTCAGCAGATGCGCCTGTGTTTTTATACACAAATTTAATAAAACATTGGTGCCAAAAAGGCGCAAGTGACTTAAAAAAATAAAAAATAAAAATGTTATTTTTTTTCTGAATAAATGTTAAAATAGTGTTCAATAAGTATCCTGTCATCCATGTGTGTACACATTTTTAGTATAAAAAATTGAAATCAGTACACAAAATCAGATCAAACTATGGTAAATTGTTGTTTTGGCCCTCCTGTAAAATTGGTGAAATGTCACTTACGCCCTTCTGGTTCTCAGCCCTTGATATGTATGTGTACTGTGTATATTTATTATGTATATATAAATACAAACACATGCATGTATATATATTTAAAATATTCGCATGTATATACATTTATATTCTTATATATAAATATATTTAATATATAAACATAACATTTTTCTTAAATATATACATTCGTGTGTTTGCATTTATATATACACATCATAAATATACACCGTATACACACATATATTTTGTAAACAAAAACTTTTATTTTGTATGCGATTAATCGTTTGACAGCACTAATTTTTAACCACCTCAGGTATTCAGTCATAGGATGGACCACTCAGCTCTCCACCGCCTCATCTGCCTGTCTGTCATTCTGCTAACCAGGCTCGCCACTCATGCCACCCCAGTCATTTTTAATGACTCTTTGGAGGGCAGTGGACAGTGGGACTCTGGGAGCACAGACCTGACCCACACACCCACCATTTCCTTCTTCAATGAATCAGTGAAGTCTACCTCCATAGATGGAGAAAAACATAGCAAATCATTCTTGGATCAGCTGGTGGATTTCTTACAAGAGAACCACCTTCCCATAATCGTCATTACCACATTACTTTTTATCATCATCACCATCCTCTGCTCAGCTGCCATCTTGAGTCGCCGACGTAAAGTCAGCACCTACTATCCTTGTGCTTTCCCTTCCAAGATGTACGTGGATGAACGAGACAAGACCGGAGGAGCACGCTTCTTCAGCGAAGTCCCAGAGAAAGCCAACACCAGCTCCAGTGAGGAGCCAGTGAATTCAGCCAGGCAGCTCCACGAGGACATCATGCTGGCTACCAAGAACCTCCGAACGCCAATCAAGACCCCAAGGAAGGAGAAGAATGAAGTGGCGGAAGACCAAAAACATGCAGAAGATGAGGGAAGTGCTCAGTGCGACAAGAGTCAAGAGGAGAGCTGTGGCTCACTAGAGGACAAGACCACAAATCAGTCTGCTGTTGAGGATACTGTGGAAAAGAGCTGCCCCAGCAGGTCCCAGGACAGTATCCCCGCTTGTGACATGGAAAAGACTGACCCCTCAGACTCCGGGCCCCCTGAAGAGAGCAAACATTCATCTGGGCCAGAGAATTCGGAGATCCATGAGGACACGAACAAACAGGATGTTGCTACTTCAGGCTCACCATTTATCAGTGAAGAGAAAACAGCATTTTAGCTTGGACATTTTTAAAGCCTTAAAGGAAACACTTAAGACGCAAATACAGACCAAAGTGTATTTCTTGCACACGTTGTAAAAAAAAAAAAAAAAAAAAAAATGTAGTATGAAGTTTAATTGAGATCATTCATGAAAAATATATGGCTTTAATATTGTTTGTAACTCTTCGATTTTCCAAATATAAATGTAATGATCTGTTTTAAGTTCCTTAAGAGTAAATGATATGAACGGACGCCTATTGGGCAAGACATAAAATCTGCTTTTTAAATGTTGGTTGTCATGAATTTCTTTTCATTTGACATGATGACTCTTTAACCCTAAATCAGAAATGATCTTTATTCTTGTTTGCTTTACTCTCTATTATTAGCGATGACATCCATAAAGACTGGAAAGGTTAGGGTCAGGGAAGTAGATTGCGTAAATGGCTCGCAATGCACTATAAACACACGCATCCACAAAATAAAACAAGCACACTCACTACTCCAATTAAGGAGACAAGGCTAAGTGTAGAAAAGCTTTGCTGTGAGTCAGCTTATTATTTACATATTCTGGCTCGAAGCATTTCCTTTCAAGGTCGAGAGGTATTCAGCCACAGCAAGTCCCATGCCACCTTTCAAACAGTTTAGTCTAAGATCAGTTAGTCTCAACACATACTTTATGAAGAACACAATATTCTTAATAAACTTACTACAAGATCTGACCACATTTCATACTTCATTACTTGAATGTTCAAGACAATCTGCCATCTACAATTTCTAAAAAACAAAAAATGTCAACAAATGCTGGCCAGTGCTTTAACTCCACTGATAGTTTGCTTCAGATCTACGGAGGCTGCAGATCTGTTGGTATGTCACTTATAGCATAACAGTTCATGAAACAAACCTCAAGTTGAGATGTATAATCACATTTTCAAATGAAAACCATATACTAGCCATGCTGAAACCAGGTACAATGCAAAATCAGTTCATCACTGTAAATTAGCATCATATTTCTAGATTCCACGGGTATGCAATATTAATTCCAATGCCCACATGATTGAGGTTTACTCATGCTTTATTTAAAGTACTGATGTTTGAAAGGTCATCGAATGGAAGCCCAGCAGCATAAATCACCATCGTGATCACATCTTCGTTCTTTCAAACTAAAATAATAGAATAAGATAATTTGTGTGCGTGTTCAGCTAGCAAGTGAAACCACTGACACTCTTTTTCATTACATCAACAGATCTAAACAAATGGCTTAGACTGTAACAGTGTGGGTCAGTACTTCTACATTGTGCATTTAAAAGACTGGCTACAGTGCAAGAGTTGGAGAGCTTTGGTCTAAACTCAAAGGGAGGATAAAGAGCATTGATTCTCAACTGGTTTTGTTTCAAGACCCTGATTGGTGATCCAACCTCAAACGCTGAGATTCATTACAATTACCATGAACTGTGCAGACTCAACAGTATGCAAAATCAATAACATTGCACAGTGGAAGAAAATAAATGCATTATTCTCTTCTAAGACAATAAGCCTGTTTTTTGGCTTATTTTAACTTTGCATGTTTATACGGTTAGTTGTATTTTAATACTGGAATTTAGCACTAGGGCTGGGTTTTGACACAAATTTCACGATTCGATTCGATACGATTTTCATTCACACGCTTGCGATGTGATTCGATTACCGATTTGATTCAATATCGATTATTTTGGATATATATCAGGTACAGTACATGGCAAATTTTCTCAAGGAAAAAAAAAACATCTCTCAACTAATGCTGTAAAATATACATAGAGTCAGTTGGTACTACATTACTATAATATTGAAGGTTAAAATTGACTGATTTGTTAAAATTACACTTAATGAAGTTTTTAAAATAATAAAAAGTTACAATTACATAATATTTCTACTTCAATTAGTTTTTTTTAAATATAAACAATGGTGGCTGTCATAAAAACTTGATGGATTTATTCAACCATAAATGAAACATTGAAGAACAGTAAAACTTATAATTAATATGTTATATGGTGCATATATTTAGCAAAACGCCCCTCTCTACAGTTTATTTTTCTAGCTGACTAATGAGTTTATGGTCACCGAATATGTTTTTCTGAGGTAAATGTGACGTTACGTGACATTGTTTACAAGCCGTTATATTGACGTCTTTGCGCGGCTGAAACACTGATTGAGCGACTGCACGAGACAGGATACGAATTGTAAAGTTGTACTCTTTTCTTTTAACTTGCCTTCGGATGTTTAGTCATGTTTATTTTATGCTGAAACTGGTATTAATGTGGAGGAGATGATTAGTTCACGTGCGCCTCGCGCTGCTGCGTCTGTTGAACTGAGGCGCTACAGCGATCTGTCACTCCATATTAAACAGCGCCAAAATGGCATTTATTGTTTGAATACTGCAATACAATGGACAGAATTTGAAATCTGAGACTTTGTTTCATATTAAAAGTACCAAAGCACAATGCTTGTTGCGATATATTGGATGGGAAGTGCCCTTCAACGTTCCGTCCATTAACTGAAAACAGGCTAGAATAATCGATTCTTGGGATTTAAGAATAGATATTGTTCCGTAAAAATGAGAATCGATTAATATAGAGAAATCTATATTTTTTTACCCAGCCCTATTTAGCACTGTTATTTCCCTGCTCCCCACGACCCAATCAGAACAGACCTGAAACCCCTTTTGGTCGTGAAGCACCAGTTGAGAACCACTGATTTAGAGCAGCGGTTCCCAAACTGGGGTGCGCGCACCCCTAGGGGTGCACAGACCGACCAGCAGGGGTGCGCGAGAGAATGATTTTGATGATCTGTGTGCATTTTTTGAAGGGGCAAGTGAAAGAGAATTTTACTTGCCCGACCGGACAACTAATCTAATCTAATTAAAACATCAAATTAGGGAAGCACCAAAATTTCGGCGAGAATGATTAGGATTTTATTACACTTGGTGTAAACGGCAATTCATAATGGATAATCAAAGGGTAATAAGGTCGCGGCAGTTGAGACTCACATGAGACAATCTCATGGAGAAATCGAAACAAATGAACACAACTGCACACAGAAGATACATACTGCGGTAAAACATTTTGTTTTTATATTTCAGTCATTCTTGAGACATGGGACAAAACAGGTCCAGCAAGGGTAACTGCTATTAGGTTTAAAAATAAAAATAAAAAATAACTTGTTTTATCAAAAGCAACACTTAATAATATCTCCTATCAAAGCAAGGTTGTTTTTTAATGACACATGCATGTTTAATATGATTTTAAAGTTGCGTCCCCACTTTTTGTCAACACCGTCAGACATTCAATAAAATTTAATAAAATCAGGGAATATCAGGGGCAGCTGTCACTCTAAAGGACCGCCTTGCCACAGTTCACCTCTGCAGAGTACATCAGTGTCAGACAGGCTCTGCTAAGTTTTAGTTTTCTAAAAACTAAAGTTTAGTTTAAGTTTATTGAAGTGTGCTATTAGTATACTTCTTTTAAACTAAAAATAGGAAAGTATACTTTTAGTCTACTTTTTATGTACTTCTCAGGACTTCAAACAAGTAGTTAATATTAAGTGACTTAGGGCATACATTTTAGTACAATGTCAATGTGACTGTTTTTGCTCTATTTGTTTAACGAAAATAGTTCCAAACAAACTTGATTCGCATTTTTTAATTAATAATTTGAGTCAATGATTTAGTGGTCCATTCATAAAGACAGGCGCTTGCTTCATTCTTGAATGAATCAGCCGTCTGAACGAATCGTTTGAATGCCTCAATGACTCACTCATTAAAGGGGTCATATGATGCTTTTTTAAAGATCGTTATTTTGTGTATTTGGTGTAACAGAATATGTTGACATGCTTTAATGTTCAAAAAACACATTATTTTTCAAATACTGTTTTCATATTTGTAAATAAAAAAACCTTATGTAAAACACCAAGCTCACAGCATTATTTATGCTGTTGTAATTTTGCAGTGTTAATGCATTCATGCTACATTTCAGCTTCATTAAATTGTCAATGTAAATGCATCTAAATGCCACTTCAGCTGCTTCTGTTTCTCCTGCAGTGGAACATTTGGTTTTGTTAATACTGATTTCATTTGATTGGTAACAGCCCTATAGAGTCTTATTATATTAAGTGAAATTATTAATAAAATGTAAGAATTTGATATGAAAGATGACATGCATTTAATAAGGTTAGGGGGAAATGCCCTTTTTAATAGTAACTTTAGTCATATAAAATGTAATTTTCCAGCAACAAAATTGTGGCCAGTGAAAATGCTGAGTGGCTAGTAATTTTGGAAAACCACTAGCCACAGTGGCTGGTGAGCAAAAGAGTTCCTTTTTAATAGTAACTTTAGTCATATAAAATGTAATTTTCCAGCAACAAAATTGTGGCCAGTGAAAATGCTGAGTGGCTAGTAATTTTGGAAAACCACTAGCCGCAGTGGCTGGTGAGCAAAAGAGTTAATGTCAAGCCCTGTATACAGTGAATACTTGTAATTATACTTGTATTGCAGTAAAAAATGTGGTGTTTAACCGGAGTACGGTGGTGGGGGTGCTTGACATGTGTCAAACACTAGAAAGGGGTGCACGCTGCAAAAAGTTTGGGAACCACTGATTTAGAGGATCAAGTGCGCCTCCTAGTTGCGGGCAATGGCGGTCTTCTCACCCGGTTCAACTTCCTGTTTCAGACAGTAGTCTGCCAAAGCTGCTTTAATGGCATCCTCAGCCAGCACTACAAAGCACAGAGAACAAGGTCAGTTACAGAACAGGAATATTATAAGTAAAATTTGTATTATGCATATAAATGTTACTTTTATCAACCGGAGCAGCAAATATAATGCAAGTAAATATTACACAAACACAGATAAATCAAATTAAAAGGAACACTTACTTGAGCAGTGCAGTTTGACTGGTGGAAGGCTAAGCTCCTTAGCAATCTCAGTGTTTTTTATCTTGAGGGCTTCATCAATCTGTACGTTGATTGAGAATTTTTAGGTTTAATAGTTTTATTAGGACAAAAACGCCAAGTTACAATCAAACTTTGTCACAATGCAGAAAAAAGAAAAAAAGAAAAAAGGAGGACAAACATTTGCACCAAAGCAATAGAACCAGCAAATGTGACCATTTTTGCTTACAGATTTGCCTTTCACCCACTCAGTGGCCAAGGAACTTGAAGCAATAGCAGAGCCACAGCCAAAGGTTTTAAACTTGGCATTTACAATCTTCCCAGCCTCATCCACCTCGATCTAGGTGGGAAAAACAAACATACACTTCAGTTCATCAAATATATGAGCACAGCGTGAAGGGTGGTGATAGCTTCCATCATCAGCATTGTGACTCAAACACAGACTGTGACTATAATGAATATACTATAAACAAAATCTCTGCATTTATCATTTGCGATACAATGTAGAGATCAAATGATTGTTTAATTTTGTCAGATAAAGAGTTATGAAAAAATACAATACAGCTATGAAACAAATGGAAAAATTAAACAGAATTAGTCTTGTGACCATTGTTTTAAGGGTTACCCAATTGGTGTTTTTTTATTTATTGAATTACTTTGGCATAAATTACATATTGTTTGTAGGTTATTATAGTTTTGGGTCCATAGTAAAATACTAACCAGGGACAAGTGCTACAAATATTATATTCTGTATTGTCCCCATCAAATAAACAATAAACAGAACAATCTAAAATATGCAGACTCATCCTGTGTAAGCACTCAATCCAATCTGAGAATTCAGTCATCGTACAGAGAATTAAGATCCTGTGAGATTCATCTGCTTAAATATTATTTACACTATTTCATCTGCTTAAATATTATTTACACTATTTTATTTAAGGGCACAATTGTTTATTTTGTTTCCCTTTTTGCTTGTCACAAAAGCAAACATGCTTGTCATCAAACACCTGTGCTATAAAATGACAGTTAATAAACCTACAGTAGTGAACATACTGCACCCATTCGGAAAAAATTACAACTTAGGAAGAACAGTAAAGTCGTCATTAAACCTATTATTATGCAAGAGAGGATTACCTGCAGTTTCATCACATCTCCACAAGCAGGGGCACCAACCAACCCTGTGCCCACATTCTTGGCATTTTTATCCAAAGAACCAACATTTTTTGGGTTCTCATAATGATCCACAACCTTTAAAATACAAATATTAACGTTTAATAAGGGAGGGGCCAGTTGAGTTATTTGGCTCACAAAGTCAGGATCATGTGTCAGTTCAGTTCATTGTTATAGAAGACAAATAAACGATCACGGGCTCCAATCCCCCCCCCCAATTTTGACCTAGTTAGACAAAATCTCTGCATTTATCATTTGCGATACAATATAGAGATCAAATGATTGTTTAATTTTGTCAGAT